TAATTGCAGGTATTAAGGTCATGTAACTGTTCCTCTTGTGAGTGAAGCAGTGATATTTCCCAGCAGGATATTTTAAGGGGAATGGCTATCAACATTTTTATTGTTGATCTGAAGATCAGAGACACAAATCCTACAGCTATCTACTCCTTATACTGAGTACCATAGTACCATATCTTCAACTGGTTAAAATTGGAGTTACCCTAATCAACGCTTTCATTCATTTTTTTCATACTAATGCTCAGAATGCAAGATGATGCAAGCACAATTTCCAAAAGAAGAAATCATAGTTTCATTAGAGGATGGAAAATTACTTAAAAAGTGAGGAAAAGGGTTTAGTTTGTAATTACTGCAAATCAGGTTGTGGCTTGTTTTGAAGTAAAAAATTCACTAAACTCCTGTCCTCAACATATACCTAAATATAGTGGTACCTCAGTTCATGAGCTTAATTCATTCCATGACTCTGGAGAAGATGGCCATGGGCCTGTTTATTATGTGATATGAAGTTCTCAAATGGAAGCAAAATTTTGATAAACATTTGTTTGCAAACCAAATTGTTCGTGAACAGAGGCATTCATGAAAGTAGGTACTACTCTACGAAAATGCAAAATAAACACAATGAATTCAGCCTTGCAATTGTTAGGGACCACAAATTGTAAACTGACACAGCATCTGTCCTATTCTCTCCTTGCACTGCTTGCCTTGTGGACTAGTTTTAGAATGTGGAAATCACCTTTCTCTCAATCAATGAGATTAGCACCTGGGTGTGGGGATGGATCTTGGCTTCTTCCTTTTATGATCTTGGCTTCTTCCTGGCTAATAATAGTGCCTGGCTTAGGGTGTCTGTGTCTCTGCCCATCCCGAGGCATTAATGTCCCAGCCCCCCATTGTGCATTACTAGATTTGTCTGTTTCTTATTTCATCCTTTCACTGTACCCCTCAAACAGGCAGTTGGGCACCTTGGCCAGGTCCTCCATTCACTATACTATGTATTTGTTTTACTACCAGAATATTTTATTATAATAATAAACATCATAATTGTGCAAATTCGTGGTGCTATTCTGATAGTTTCACACATTCATGTATAAGGTGTTCATCTTTTCCACTCATATTCTTCTACTGTCACCTGTCTTCTTTTTTGTTAATCAAAGACTTTATTGCACAAATGTTACACAACAGTCTTCAATATTTAACTCTGAACATACTTAGGAAGAATAACTATTTTTATCATTCAAGTTTACAAAATAAAATAGGCTTATGAAGATTTGAAGTACAAACAAAAGGTAGCATGAAGCATAACAATATTAAGCAGAGAAAAAAGCTAGGTCTATTGTAATGCAGATTACAAATGCACTAAGTTACCTCAATGAAATCAAATCTCCTATTATACATTATGATCTTAAGCCAGGCCACATAGTTCTGGTAGATGGCCTCATGTTTTCTTTAAACCCTACATGTTGCAACCCCTCAGAAGCCTGAGTTCCAATTGGTCATTTTAAATCCACAGAGCCATGTGTGATAGATGACCATTAAATAATTGAGTAACTCCTTGGCTTATGTGTAGTTAGTTCTGGATTGAGTAGTCATGTGGGTGCCCAATCAGAAGGTCTCCAGGAAATCCAGGAGCTATTTTTCTTATTGTTATTTTGAATAAAAACTCCCCTAATGCCCTCTTTTGTTTTGGGGGACCATGAGCTCAGTACATACGGTAAGAGTACATGAAGAGCTGGCAACACTACATG